CATTTATTTACATTAACAAAAATCCTTATTTTTATTGAAAATTTAAATCCTTATTAAATTTTGATTATTATTTAATTATAATTTACTCATTTCTTTGTCATGAGCTATGTTCAGCAATTTAAATATATTGCTGTTGATTTAACAAACATAAATAATTAGTAAAAATGCAAATTAATTTTATGAATATTAATTAGGTGAAATTTTATTGTCATATGTATAAAATTTTCTCTTACAAATTAAAAATATAAATATTATGCAAATTAAACTCTTTTATGTAAACATTATTATCTGTTTATGACCTCATTTTTATTGGTACTAAAACTTACTCTCTATTTTTATTTTACCAATTTTCTCTCACTAATTAAATCATTCAAAAAAAAATAAATATGTTTTTTTTTTATGTATCTCCATTTATTAAAAGAAAAAAATATCAAAAAGAAATCAATAATTTTTTTTTTTTTTTTTTTTCGTGTGCGCACAATCAACTATATATTCTTCATGTAGCTAGTCCTTTTTATTACCAAAAAGATTAATGAAGCCTTTTATTAACCAGTTATAGAGGTAAAGAAGTACAAATTCCAATGTCAAAAATAAAATTCTTCAGTAACAAAACTAAGGAGATATATGAAAAGCTACTAGAGAATTTAATACAATTTACGAACAGAAATAAAAGGAAAGTAAATCTTACGCATGATTTAAAGTCTAAAGTTTATCTAGATATTCATAAACGGAATAGAATTACAAAGTATGACATCAACGATAATCAGAAAAAGAAACTTGAAAAAAGAGTACAAATTGGACTTGATATAATAAAACAAGTCAAAAATAACAAACTTTAAGTAATAATCATTACTTTCCCATGGTGTCCTAGTATGGTTAATAAAAGGCTTTATTTACCTTTTTGGAATATAAATGGACTAGTTATATGAAGAATACGTAGTTGGTCATGCACACACAATTAAAAAAAAGAAAAAAAAATATGATCAATTTTTTTTGTTTGTATATTTATATAAAAATAAGTACAAAGATCGTCAGGAAAGAAAAAATTTAATTCGAAAAAGATTTGTTACCAATAAATAAAAATAAGAAAAAAAAAAAGATTTTTTTTCTTGTAACGAAAGATAATTTTTAATTTTTGTAAGAGAAAATTTTGTACATATAATAATATAATTTTTACGAAATTAGTATTTATATAATTTTTTTGTAATTTCCCTAATTGATTATGTTTGTTAATTCAACATCAATATATTTAAATTGCTGAACATAAATCATAACAAAGAAACAAATAATATACATTTAATTAATAATTAATATTACAAGGATTTAAATTTTTAATAAAAATATGGATTTTTATTAAAGTAAATAAATGCCTATTGAATATAAAGAATGCTGAATGAAGTAAAGCACATAATTAAGAATTACTCGTTCAAAGCATTTAAAAATATATACAAATACATGAAAACGGTAGAGGCCACTCTACATACTCTTTATTAATTTGTTTATTCAGTACTCTAGTAAAATCACCCAACACCCAGTTAATAAATCAAATAGGAAGTTATTAAAAGAGATTATTAAACTTTTTGATAATAAAAAATAAGAGTTATAAAAAAAATAAATGGTTAGTCATACAAGTGATAGATAAAAAAGGAAAAAAAAAAAAAGTAATTAACTTTTTCTGTTATATTTTAGTAATTTAAAGATGCATAAAAAATACTTTTTTTTTCCTTAAAAAATGATTAAATTGTTAAAAAATTAAAAAAAGAAGAGTT